CGCTAGTGCGTCTCTTGAGATCAGGGGAGTGAGGTTTACCTGCACAGCACCTACTCGCTGGCCTCCGTTACATTTACACACATCCGCGTAAACGGCCAAAAATGCTGCATTATGTATGCCAGGCCAGTAGTTGGCGCTGTCACCTTGTTAGTAAACAGTACCTGTAGGGAAGTGACGATTATATGTATATGATGCGCTTCCGCTGTTGGTTAATATTGGTTTAGTAAATCCACACTTTGCTGAAGAAGCGTTAGCAAACTCTTGAGCAGCAACAACAGTACCATGTACTCCGCCATTGTTGTTTATGTTTGTTCGCGCTTGCCTTTAAAATCGACACGTACTGCACATGTCTACATACCTAACACGTACTACAAACGCGCATGATGTCACCGTTTTCAAAGATTCCCGTTTTGGGTGTTTACACGAAAACGATAACGGTGGCATTTTCAAAAACTTGCACTTTGGCGTTGTGGGGTTGCGCAAGATAGCGGCAACAACAGTACCAAAAAAAACAGAGGAAGCAATTATGTGCAGCTGATGCATATATCCTTTCCATTCCCAAGTTTTAACTTAAAATTAAACCTGGTCGCAAAGATATCGTTTAATTATGCATTAGGCATTTTTGTTTTCTTTTTTTTTTTTTTAGCAAAGTCGCTTATAGTTTTGCTTTGTTTAATTTAAGTTTTCTAACTTGACGGCCGTTAAGTCTTCTTGCACATGGATGCTGCGAAGTGCATGATGAAGCGCAAAGGGAAAAATAAGTGCTCTACTTCTAATGTCCATACGGAAGAAATGGAAATTGGCATTCCTCTCGTTGCTGGAGTTGAAGCTACCTCACATTTCATAACTGACCATGAATACAGCCAACAATGTCCCGATCTCTCTCGGAGTGAGAGTCCAGTCCTCGAGTCAGCGTGTGACTCTAACCAAGATACGCCTGTGAAACCTCAGCAAAAGAAATCTCGAGGAGACATTTCGCTGACAGAATTGCAAGATAACATAATTGTGGCTTTGACATCTAAAATCAAGGAGAGTGCAGACAATCTCGGTAAAATGATAACCAAAAACACCGTGAGTATTGAGGGTCTCAAGAAGTCGATTGACTTTGTGTTTGAAGAAGTCAATGCATTGAAAACCGACATGAAAAAATGTAAATCTACTGTGAATCTGAATAATACCAAGATCTCTGAGCTTGAGCAAAAACTGAATGAAACCGAACGATATCAGCGCAGATGGAATCTTCGTCTGTACGGAATCCCCGAGCAATCTGATGAAAACATCAAGCTGAAGGTTTCCAACATCTGTGCTGCAGTTGTTCCTGACTCAAACGTGGCGATTCAAGCTGACATCGATATTGCGCATCGTCTGGGAAAGCTGGACAACAGGCCAAGACCGGTGATTATTCGCTTCGCGAAAAGATCTACGCGGGATCTGGTGTGGAGGCAAGCAAAACACTCCGATTACCTCAGGAACCAACTGTAGTGGCTCAAAAGTGGGGCCCTTCAGGGCCCTCAGCAGAGTGGCCAGGTCCCATGAAGGGACGGTAGCGGACGAGGCGGATTCAGCCTCTTTGCACCCTACAGGAAGCGGATGACTGCGCCATTTCTGCCCACCGATATAGAGGCCGCTATAGCCGCCACATAGACTTTGAGCGTGGATGGGGA